TATATATATATATATATGTATGTATGTATGTGTGTGTGTGTGTAAAGCCATTATATTACTCTCCAAAAGAGTCATTGGGGAGAGAAGAGAGGTTCCAACATAAATCTAAGAGAAATGGTCCAAGTCTAACTAATGCGGGACTCTAACAATAAGATAAAATATATCGACTTCTTTGAATTCAAAATCGATACCTCTATTTTCGAGATACAACAACTTTACACGCAGATCATCTCCCGCCATAGCAAGAGAAGCCGAAGCCTCTCCCAACAACGGATTTCTTCTTTCTGCTTGTTCCAATATCTCGATGCACAAACGCCCTTTATCACAATCTTTGCCTTCCTCGGTTGACTTATAATAGTCAACAGCTCTCGTGAGTCTCTTTGAGATCTGAAGCGCTTTTCGGCCATCCGGGGTTCGATCAACCGGCCGAGCACCCTTCGTTAGAAGGGATACTATAATGCTCGGCTCTTTTCTCATAGCAGCAATGTGGAGTACCGTAAAACCCCTTGAGTTCCGATGGTTCACATCGGCAAGCGCCAAATCGAGCAATTCTGTTGTGGTTTTAGCATCGGCATAAGCCACAGCATAATGAAGAGCGCAAGAACCGTCTAAAGAAGTATGGCCTTCTCGTAGTAACATCGTGACTAATTCAACGTCATCCGAATCAAGAGCTCGGTGGACGCGTTTTATGTGCTTGTCAGGAAAACTACTGCTTCCGGGCTTGTCCAAACCGAGCTCAAAACGGAGATCGATAATTTGTTTGACGATTTGTTCCGGCAAAGCTCGCTCGAGAGTTACGAAATCGACATTCGATTTGACTAAAATGTCGACGCATTTCGTAAACAGGTCCTTGCATGATTTCCCACATGTGTTTGCAACAGATAGAATCACCAGGATATCATCCACGGACGTTTTGTCAAGAACATATACTAGGCGACTCTACATCAAAACGAAAGACTAATAATCATCAAAATAAATAACTTTAAATCGTTATAAAATATAAAGCGGGGATCATAATAAATGCAATATATAAACTTCTAAGGCAATATTTTCATTTTTCGAGCTTATTGAAAAAGCTCCGTTCAGCTGGTCATAAGCAGGCTTTTTGTAACTTTACTTTTAGTAGCGTTCCAATAAGTTCCAGGGGCTTTTCTCCACTTATTTCCATGTATGCCTCTTATGTCTTCGAATTGGCTTTTCGACGTGTCATTTTAAGGGGTCGATTACTTACAACTAAATGATCTTAATGGTCTGGACGGTTTATTCGCTCAACCATACAGGAGTGTTTCTTTACGGCTTGATCGTTAAGCCATTAAGCCAAAATGACGATTTGGAATAAGTCAGGAACCCTCACTTGTTCCCGGTAAGCCACCTAAAATAAATTAATACCAGAAATGCCTCAAAAATTATCCAACCCACTCTTCGCCTCCCTCAAACCCATTGGTCTCTTGTCTCTCGTCCCTCATACAGACAAATTTATCCAGACAGACAACTCAACTCATACAGACTTTATTGAAAAAGAAGTAAACAACATCCAAGTCGTTTTACATTGTTATCCAGTTTATCAACAAGCTTTTACTACACATGACTAGTTTATCAGCTAGCCTTTACGAAGCGCGAGTAGTTTATTAACAAGCTTTTACTAAACAAGACTACTTTATCTGTTAGTTTATTAGCTAACAACTAGTTTTTCAGCCAACAGCTTAACCAGCTTATCACTCAACAACTAGCTTTTATGCTAACAGTTTAGCCTAGCTATTCGACCAATAGTTTAGCTGCCTTTATCAGCCAACCACTAGCTTCCCAGCTAACCTAACAAGCTTTTACTAAACAAGACTACTTTATCTGCTATTTTATTAGCTAACAACTAGTTTTTCAGCTAACAGCTTAACCAGCTTATCACTCAACAACTGGCTTTTATGCTAACAGTTTAGCTAGCTATTCGATTAGCAGATTAGTTGGCTAATAATTAGCCAACCACTAGTTTCTCAGCTAATAGCTAGCTTTTCAGCTAACCTAACAAGATAGCTAGCTTTTCAACCTACAGCTAGCTTTTTCGGCCAACAATTAGCTTTTTGGCCATCAGCTAGCTTTTCAGCCAACAATTTAGCTAGTTTTATTAGCCAACAACTACCTTTTCAGCTAACAATTTAGTTAGTTTTTCAGCCAACGGCTAGCTTTTTAACCAACAGTTTAGCTAGCTTTTCGTCCAACAATTGGTTTATTAGCCAACAACTAGCTTTTCAGCCACCAGATAGCTTTTCAGCCGACAATTTAGCTGGCTTTATCAGCCAACAGCTGGCTTTGACCTCATAGGCACAGATACAGAAGATCTTCAATGGTGGTTTTTGTTTAACCATAACTCTAATTTGGGAAAATGGAAGTAATGAAATCACCTGCCACAGAGCAGCCATATCTGGGATCTGAAAAGTGTGATAAGCATACATCACCTCCACCATGAAATCCACCGCCGGCCGGCAAGCTTCATGGGAGCATTCTTCATCAACACAAACACAAACATCTGTAGGCAAACCCTTAATCTTACCACTGTACAAGTACTTCAACACACTAACCAGCGATTCAAATCCGATTTCATAATCACCACCCAATTCCTTCATCGACAATTTCACATTGTGATTCTTCCCCTTACCGGTGATTTCGCCGCTGAATTTGTTCTTGAAGAAGGGGCTCCTCCCCGATAAGATACACCGGTGGACAGCGACTTCCCGGCCACTGGAAAGAATGATTTTGGCATCGGCGAAGGAATTAGAAGGTTCTAACAAGATTGATTCTAGGGTTTCGGATAGGCGATTGAGGGAAGAGATATCGGAAGGAAAAAGGGGTGAATCTACGCCGCTGCTGCCGCTGATTATATCATCGGAAAACCCAGTTCGAGTATCCATCATCTGATTTCTTTCGCCGGAAATCATGAAAAGTCGATCGAGAAAGGGTGAAATGGTGAATGGATGTTAAATTAGAGATGGACCCACGAAGGATATGAGTTGGCGGAAGGTGTGGACAGCCATGGCGATGTAAAAAGGCAAGTTTTGGGGGAAATCGGAGTGATGGGTGAATTGGGTTTTGGGAAAAGAGGAACTTGGATTCATGATGTGAATATAATAACGGAGATGGTGTCAGAAGAGTGAGGTAGAGAGGTGATGACGACAGCAAAAGAAGCAGAAGAAATTTTCAACTCGAAAGGATCTGGTTGTCGAATTATTGTGCGATGATTTTGTCCTTTCTTTCAAGACGAAGATGACGATTAGAAATGGGTCCCGATCGGAGAGGGTCCACCGGCGGTTGCTAAATTAGCCAATTTTCTGGACTTTGGGATTACTTATTTGAAAAGACTTGTGTTTTTTTATAAAAGCATTTATCAATTTATTATAAGTCAGAAATGTTTAATTTTTTTAAAAGCTCATCATTACCGGTTTGACATCGGTATAAGTCGTTTATCAAAACACTCAAAAGTGCTTATTACCGATGTCACACCGGAATTAGTCAATAAGTTGTTTTTATAAGCAATCACAAACACCCCTTTACCAAGTTTAACGACAAGAAAACCAATGTATAGTTGTATATTAATATGGTTTTTCATTATATTTTTGCACTGTAAATTTCATATTTTACTGTTGTTGAATGATTTGGTGTAGAATGATTAATTGACTCTCATGATACTGTGCAAAATAAAATATAATTGTTCGGTAATTGTTTACAATGGAATTAGGATGTTGAATGGTTAAGGGAGGTTCATGATACAAAATCATTCAGAGGGTTTTAGAACCATTAAGAAATCGACTTTTTTTTGCCAAACAAGATTCACTTCTTAGTGATTCAGATGTTACTTCTTAATGGAATTATTAAGAGGTAAACAAACAGCCCGTAGAAGTAGTTTCTAGACTATGTATAACGAGTTCTTTGTTAAAAATCATTAACTAAGTGACCGTTTACTAAATGCTTATCGGTAAAAGGCGTCTTCCTTAATTTCATTATCGTATAACATTTTTTATCATTAAAATGGATTGTTAGTAAGCGTCTTAAATCTGGTAATTTTGTTCAAAGTCAAACCAATTTTTTTTGCAATCTTCTCATCATCAAACAAAGCCCGTATAGCTCTATGTTTTGTTGATTACGCAGACGTCGTTCTTGCTCTAGTTCCTGATCGTTTTTTTATCTAACTCGTCGATTCGTTTCATTTGGTTTCGAGATGGAAGGGTTCTTGGTGATGGTGGATTCTCAAGATGAAGGGGTTCTGGTGATGATGGGTCCTCGAGGGTGCTGTAGATTTGAGGTGGAGCCCGGAGTGAGAGCCGTTGAACGGAGTCCAAGTTCTCCGAAGTGAACCAACGGAAGATGGTTGAGCCGAGAGTTTAGGGCAAAAAATGAACCTTGTGCATATTATAATATAATTAGAAGGGTACTCGTGCAATGCATCGAGATACATCTTGATTTTAATATTTCTTTTATTCTTTATCTCAGTCGATGTTATAGTACTGTCTTATATGATTTTGAAAAAAATATGATGTTTTCATTTTTGAATAAAATATAAATTTGAAAATATCATAAAATTTTGACAAAAATATATCGATAGCAGTATCAAATTAACTACTTAAAACTCATATTTTTTTGTGTAATTTTTTAATTCAAATTTTTTTATTATAATTTAATTTAGGTTCAATAACAAAGTTATTGATTTGGTTTAATAATATAATTTTCTTATAAAGATAATAATTAATTATTTTGTTAGAACTCGATAATTATCCTAATTATATTTTAGATTTTTAATATTTTAAAATAAGATGTTTATCCTCTATTTGATTATGTTTATCCGCAATTAGTTATACGAATTCATTTTAATAAGTTGTACTTATGCATAATTTACTTGTAATCTTGAATTTTAAGTAATATGCATCAATAAACAATATTTAATGCATAAAAAATGGTTTTTAAGAGTTTTTGTCAAATATAGTATAGATATTGAGCGCACTTGTATATAAGGTTTAAAAACTTGTACACTCAATGTTACTAACAGAAAATGCAAAATGAGCAAAATGCCCCTGATTATTATCGTTACTATTATCTTCGTACGATTTTGTTTATACTTAAAATTATGTTGTAATGGTATATAACAACACAATTACAAACGACGCAAGAACCAACATAACATTTAGTTTTTATAAATCGACATACACTGTGTTTAGAATATTATATATATTTATAACTTTTTCTGTATCTGATAGTACTTTTTTCACCAAAAGCACATCTTTTATGAGGTTTTTCACTTTTCACAACACTCATATCAGTATAAACTGCAACAACCATTTCACTATACGAAATCAAAAACTGATATCCAATATTCCATATTTTCCTTCAAGAACAGCACTCATATCAGTATAATCACCGTCGGAGATAATTTACCCAAAGTTAAGTTTCGTTAACGTGCAAAATCATATAGAAATGAAATGACCAAATCGTAGTTTTTCCCTCAAACGGTCGGAAACTGCCATACGACAGTTAAAAACCGGATTTTCAAAACAGAGTCAAAACCGGGTTTAAAATTTCAAATTCGGATTTTTGAAGCATTTAAAATTTCAGCTCGACCCCAGTCAGGGGCTCTGCCCCTTGGACCCTGCCACCGGGGGCGCTGCCCCTGGACCCCCGTTGTTTAGGGGCTACGCCCCTAAATTAAAACAAACTCAAACAAGTGTGCACTCTGCACCCTCCTTACTTGTTTGATATTTATCATGATTACATTGGTCAACAAATAAATCCCATTACACTTAAATGATATTAGTGATACAAATCACCAACAAAAGATGGTTCATTTCGCAACACACAAGAAAAATAAATGGGGAACCAATAATAGCGAGTAAGATCGAATGAGGCGACATTTCGACGAACGCGTGGGGAGTTCCAAAACACAGATTCAGGAAAAGTGTGTTATGAATTACTTCATGGGTAAGATCGAATTGATATACACATTGAAATGGACAAATTATCAAATAACATTGTATCTTGCATAGCAACGATTGAACATCACAGGTGAGTTTTGTTCAAATTCGTATTCTGCAGTTAAATTGATGAAAGAAAATCGAGCATCATACTGATATATAAAACAGAGAGATTGGGTACCTCGTGATCCATTAAGTTTTGATTCAGCCATTGGAGATATTGGAGCTTACTGAAAAAGACAACGATACGATTGTTTGACTTAGGGTCTTGAAAATGTGTTAGAAAAATCATTGTTTTCCCCAAAACAAGGATTATCGTAAATTCATCTGATTTTACAACCAATCTGATCAAAATTGATACAAGCCTCTCAGATATTTAGAAATCCTAACAACGGTTACATCAGTTTTATTAGAATCATATCATCAGTTTATATCGTTTTAAAAGATATTGTTTAAATGTGATTCTGTTGTTTGAAATTATATAATAATTTATGAGGATAAACTGTAACATCTCATGCGAACCGTAAGATATGATTCGTTTTGTCCACACATCTGGACTCACGGTTTTAAAATGCGTCTGATAGATGAGGTATCCAGTCCCTTATAAGGAACTTTTGTCCCCCCTGGGAGCCCACCGTCCTTGCTAGCACAATAGTCCGGTTCCCAGCCCTGATACCATCTGTAACATCTCAGGCCAACTATACCAGATATTGTCCATTTGTCCATACACTTGGACTCACAGTTTTAAAAACACATCCGATAGGGAGGTATACATCCCCTTATAAGGTAACTTCCTTTTTCCTCCGTGACTAATATGGACTATTTGCAAAGCAGGTGGTCGTTCTGGGATTAGTCGGCTCGCATAGCAGGTTGGATATCCAGGTTAATCAAAAAAAAAATGGGATCTTATATAAACAAATGTATATAAGTAATTTTATTATGAACTGTTTATGTATATTTATTAAAAATCTAAAATTTATTTCAAATAGACATATAGGGTTGGGTTCGGTGAGGATGAGAGTAAGGTGAGAAACGTAAGAAAAGATCTTCATCCTTGGATGCACATTAGGATGAGATGCACTAAGATGCACCAGATCAGTCCCCGTATCAAACACGATTCTTGGCTGAGTTTGAGATTAAAGGTAATCAAGGGTCCAGATCTCTTCTTACACTTCTCACACTTCTCACCTTATCTCTCGTTCTCATATGATCCTTCGCCTAGAGATATAATACTTATATGCAACGTATATAGTATCTTTTATTTTCAACTACGAACATTTTCGTATCTATTTGCCCATTTAATATAATCAAGTGTCGTATTTATACAAATCAAAATCATTTGTTTTCATTCCTACGATTAAAAAAAATATGATAAAACAATGTAATGACTCAAATTGATCACCTTTTCATTTTATTACCTTCTTAGGTTTATTCATTTTACATTTTATAATAAATTTTTTTATCGGGGTTATGTTCTATCTTTTTATAACTGGTAGCCATGAATCATTAACACAGTGGGCACAAAGTCCCACAGTGGTGTGCAAGTGCACGCCGACACTATGATCGCTTGCAAGTACTAGAGTGGTGAAATACCGAGATCGTTTCCACATGGATTGAACTACTGAGAATTGGAGAATTTCATGAACTTCTTGAGCATGTTTCTGTTTGTGATTAAAAGTTGGATTTTTGTTGGTAAAAAGCTTTAAAAGATGAAATAGACGTATAAATAAAAGATGGGCATGAGTGTAAGTATTCTTTAAGATAAAAGCAACAATATAATGGTAAAGATCTTATGAGATGTTTGTAAAAATTCTAATCTATCGAAAGTGAAAATTTATAAACAGATCCCACAAAGTTCCCACTTCTACCACTTCGAGCTTGTTGATTTAGCTAAAAAGAAAAAGAAACGAAATTCATACCCAAATCTCATTGTAAAACAAATCTCCAATTCTTGAACCTTAGCTAAATACATACGAAATTCATATCTCTACGTAATTATCAAAGACTTTCTCAAGTTCTTTGTGCATCACTTAAGCCGTATTTCAAATCCGCCCATCTCTGGGTCAAAAGTCTAATATTAACATTTCAAAATGACCGGCTTATCCGCATTGATTTTTAATCCTGACTTAAGTGACAAAGTTTACGAAGTAGTAAA